AAACCTGATTTGAATATGAATAAACAAAAACGACCATTTTAAAACAGTGGATCTGGTTCCAGGTTTATTTAGAGCAGCCACATTGCTTTCATTTCTTCAATGTGTTACTTGCCCATTAAGAGCACATAAACACTTTTTCTTTTACAAATTAGAAAAAAATGTACAAATGATATAAAAGTCTTCTTTCATTACAGGTTCTGTTGAAGATTTGGCTAATTTTGAGAGTTGTGGAAGGTGTTTTGTGATTGGTTCAAACATGCAGTTTCTCCAAATGGACACTTTTGGCTAAAAGTTGTCTAAAGCTGTGTTCTGGTGGGTATAAACTTTCATTCTTTTATTAACAATTCAATTTAAAGGTAATCAGTGTCTCTGTTTTTAGTAGATTGTGTTAGATATTGAGCAGGAATCAACAGAAGATTGATAATTGACGCCATCAAGGATTTCCATATCACTGTGGGCTTCATAATTCTGAGGCTCTTTCTCAGGCCAAAAGACTGTGCATGTATTAATAAATACATTAATACATGAAATTAGTGTGTATCTTACATTTGATGGTGCCTTAGAATAAAAAAGGTGGCATTTAACCATTCCTCTCAAAATGCTGTCTATTCTTGGTCTCCCTCTCCCTGCCTCTAACTGGCCCTATCGGAATTATTAACAGCCAAGGCTCTGGTTTTATAGCCTTTTAGCCCCTTAGTTCCACCCCTCATAGCATTCCGAAGGCTCTGATTGGCTGGTTTTGCTCAGTCTTGCCAGGCTCCTCCCTCCACAAGCAGCCATCTATATAAATAAAAATGTAAGGTTCGTTTGTGGTATTCACAAAACTCAAAAACCACTGGGGCAATTGGCACCAAATTTGGACACAATACACTATCTGGCCAACGAGTGACCATCACTCATAAAAACACTGAAAAACGCAAAAGAAGAGACTTAAAAGCCCCCAAAATAATTACATTACAACACATGCACAAAACTATATATATATACACACACACATACATATACACACATATAAATACACACACAAAACACATATACACAGACTGGGCCACAGCAATGTGTGGCAGGGGACGGCTACTGTTAGATAGACATCTCTCTTTTAGAGAACTGTAATGGTATTACTTATAGATGCTATGGCATAGAGATAGAAGAGGATCTGTTCAAGTACTAATGTGGCATATATACTCACTGCACAAATCCTTCCATAAGAAGCAACAACAATTGACTGCAACAATGTTTAGTAGAATGTCAATGTTCAAATCTGGAAATGGACTGAAGCACTGATGACTGAGGAATGGATAATCACTGTGGCTGAGTGAATGGATCATCACTGTTGTTATGGGCCATTTAAAGAAAAAACCAATGGAAGATATTTTTGAAAGCTTGGGATTTACTTGTGGACAGTTTCAGCAATAAGAAACCCAATGACACCAACACTCTTGCAGAGTAGGCTAAAGACCTTGTAAAACGATGACCCCCTGGATTCAATAGCATTGAGCTGCAACAGTTAAATTGATGCCGAACTGCATTAATTCTGCAGTTAATTTGCATCCCAAGCAGTTTCTCACAGGGCTTGCATTCTGGCTGCTTTTCTCTGGACACGTTCCAGCTTGTCAATATTTTTCAATATACCTCATCCTAAGATTCCACAGGGTGTTGCCATGTGCATTTAGCATAGAAATATAGAGCTATAACCATGTAATGAGAAAAAGCCCAAAATTAGACCACATTCAAAAAAGACATCAGGTGTAACTGGCATTAACACCAAAGTGGCAGTGGGAGTGCATGAGTGTGCAGTACTATTGCAGTGAAATGATACATAAATGAATATAAATTGTTCCCCTGCAGAGGTCATTGGCAATAAACATCTTTCTAAAAGATAAAAAGAGTAATCAGCTAAGAAGAAAAAGATGGTGGACAGTGTGTATCCCCCGGAAGCTGAGACAAACAATGTGATGCATAGCAATGGAAACTGTGGAAATGGATCAAAGACTGCAGACCAGACGGCACAGGGCAATGGAGACCTTGAAAATGAACTAGCATCTTCAGAGCAAATGGGATTTCTAAATGGGAAAATGAATGAAGAATCTGGTAAGCCAGCATTTTTGCTTAATGAGAAAAGAGTATTGAGATTGGGCCTAGAATAAATGTTTTTTAGCCCAAGAGCTGAAGAAAAATTGGAAGCGATATGGGTTTTATTGTCTGAGGAGTGGGAAAATGTGGTCTCCAGGTTGCCTCAGTACTCAAGCCTTTCTTGCATCCCAAGGACATCCTGGAACCCCCTACATCCCAATTTTTCTTTAAAAAATATACGAGGGGTATTTTTAAAGTAAGGTCCATTTGAACATAAGTACACAATGAAAGTTTATTTCAAAAAAGTAAATTTATTTTCAGAAAGTACATACTTCACTCTATTTTTTGACATAGTTGCCAAGTTTGTTCAAACACTTATCATACCTCTGAACCAATTTTAAAATACCCTCTTCATAAAAACTTGCCGCCTGCACCAAATCGTCTGTAATCAAAGAAGGGCGACCGGAGCGGTCCTCATCATGGACGTTGTCATGGCCATCTTTGAATTGTCGTACCCACTTACGCACTTTGCTTTCACTCATAACAGTATCACCGTACACTTCACAAATCTGTCGATGAATTTCTGCAGCAGGCAGGTTCCTTGCTGACAAAAACCGTATCACTGAGTGAACCTCACATGCGGCGGGTGAGTTGATAGTCTTAAACATTTTTAAAGCACAGAACAGAACCGTACAGGTTAGCTACAGAGCGGAAACTGAGCACAGTTGTTCCCGAGGCATGCCGGTACACGACGCACGTGCTCGTTGCGGTATGTGCATGAACTACTAGTGTCTACAACAAAACAGACCTTACTTAAAAAATACCCCTCGTATGAAAGTGCTGAAAAATACAGCAGACTAAGTTGTTTCTCCTCCACTACCCCCCATTTTTTTTTAACTGATAAGGAATGGCCAATTTTTGATTGAACAGTGAAGAAAGAAGTAATGTCACATCTGTTCTGAGTCACTTGTCACAAGGTGGTATTATCTAATAAAGGATTGTACAGGGTCCAAAACGGCTTCCCAGTCCAAGGGCCATTGTTGATCCTTATTCTTCATGGTTCTGTTAGTGACATACCATACATACTTGCATGTAAAAAGATCTCATATATTTGTTGAGAGCAGGTTTTGGACCTGACATTAAGGATTGTAATATGACTTGTGGAAAGGTCTGTGGATCCGTATGTGGTGCTTGTTTTCAGATACTGAGGGATCTGCATGGCACATGTGTCTGTATTCACAGCCAGTTGATTATCACGATATTTCATGCAGCGATTCACAGTAGTTACACACTTTACTGTGGGAATGTATGCTCAATGTGTATTTCTCTTTCTCTTAGCTGGAGGATGGAAAGCCAAATGGAGCAAGTGCTGCACTGCACCCGTGATTTGTTCGTTTGTTGCCAGCAGTATTGCTGTTGTCCTCTTTAGTGAGTTCTCAATGTATTTCTTAGCAATTTTGTTTGATTACTATCTGTCTGTCATAGTTCTGTTTTTAGAATGTTTTGGTTTATTGTATTTTTTTGATACTAAGATATAATATCAAAAAATGTGCGCACACTAATTTCAGCATTACTATCAGGCATATATATATATATATACACACACACATACATACACACATACACACAGATGTGCACTCTTTGTGTGTGTGTGTGAGCACCTGCAATTCTAAGGCACAACCTGCTTTGAGAGATGCTTATATGAGGGGAAAATGCATCTTAGAATTGGAGAAATACAGGACTTCGTTTTCCCATGCATGCGTGTGTGCATGTCTTCAGATTGCTTCTTAACTTATGGTGATCTCACTAATTTCAAAAGATTTTCATAGACAAGGAATACTCAGAGGTGGTATGACTGGAGAGATTCCCTTGGAAAGTGCCTATTTCCCTATATTTGCTTAATTAAAGGTAGAGGTAAGAGATGGCATTTGCAGACAAGCCAGGTGTGCCATTTCACCATTGTTTGTACTCATTCTATCTACCTCATTCCTTCCCCCAGCTGGCCTCCCTTCCAGTCTCTGAACTCATCTCAGAGAGGGACTGACATAGGCTCCTTCTACACTGCCATGCAGTCTAGATTACCAAATCAGATAACCTACATTATCTGGTTTGAACTGGATTATAGGAGTCCCCACTTCCCTATAATCCAGTTCAAATCAAATAATGTGGATTTTATATGGCAGGGAAAGACAAGTGTACTTCTTTCCTTTTTCTACCTGCCAGCTCTACCCTGTCAACATTGACTAAGATTCTACACTGCGGCCTACATTTTGTAACGTTTTTGTAACTCCATACTTACATTGTAGACATGGAATAAAACTCTGTTAGTGAATGGAAATGGTGCACATCTGAGCATGGGCAAGAGTTATTTTGACTGATTATATGATACCCATCAATATTCAGTATCAATTGAAGTTTTCAAGGGCAGGCGCACAAGGAGCACATTTTGTTATATTAAATTTAAAAGTCTCTGGGTACAAAGGCAACTGGAAGGAAATTAATCTTCCCCAGATAGGGTCACAGCTGTTATATTGGCCTTGGTTGAAAAAAGGTACTTCTAGCTCTTGACACTCTCTCTGCCTGCTCAGATAGTACTAAATCCTTGAGTTCCTCCAATTCCAAACATGTTTCTCCAAAAATCAGTGCAACCAATAAAGTAAGAGTTACTAAATTGAGCCCAGGGACTGAATTCCAATTTGGGAAAGCTCTCGTTGTGTGTGTTGCATACCAAGACTGTCATGGTGTGGGGTGCGAACAAAGCAAAGTAGATGGGGTTAGGAGTAGTTCTAATCAGATCTCAAGCCTGTAAAACAGAGCCTAATTCAATGCCAAAGTTTTGTGACTCTTAAATACTCCCTTATTGGTAAAAAATAAGCAGTGGAAGTAGGCCCAAGGTTCATGGTCCATTTACTAAATTTGTTTTATTTTCTTTGTTTTAGTTGTGATGCTGACCAAATTACCGTTCCAGTGCCCAGCAGCAGTCATTTTCTCTTGCCCTTCAAAGTGGGTTGGGTATGAAGGCAAATGCTACTACTTTTCTGACTCTGAAGATACCTGGAACTCCAGCCAGAAAAATTGCTCTGCATCTGGTGCTTTCCTGGTTATACTTGAAGATCAAACAGAAATGGTGAGGGAGACTTTCAGACTGCATAGTAAGGGTTTTGCACCATGCATTGGGTGATACCATCTGTGGGAGCTGAATGCAATGAACTGTACAACATTGAACTCATGGTGGTGGTAGAGATTTGTTACGTGATTGGGATACTTAGGCTTGCCAGAGTGAAAACTAGAGTGGGCTCTTACCCCTTTCATGATTGCAGACCTTTCCATACAGCCCTATATTCCAGAACATCAAGGCGGAAAATCCCACATTATCTGAGTGTGGACTCAGATAAACCAGTTCAAAGCAAATATTGTGGGATTTTCTGCCTTAATATTCTGGGATATAGGGCTGTGTGGAAGGGCCCTGTGTGAAAGAAGAGATTTCAGCAAGTGTAAAAAACAACACTAAGGGTCCTTCCACACAGCCCTATATCCCAGGAAATCAAGGCAGAAAATCCCACAGCATCTGAGTGTGGACTGAGATAACCCAGTTCAAAGCAGATATTGTGAGATTTTTCTGCCTTGATATTCTGGGATAGAGGGCTGTATGGAAGGGCCCTAAGTTTCCTTCCTCAAGCCACAAGGAGAGGCAGGTAATCAGTAGATGATGATGAAGTTTCTTCTTGAAGGAAACAATTCATATTTTTAACATTTTTATTTCCTGCACATAAACCATTGTTTTCTATGCAAAATAAACTCAAGTGAATTTTGCAGAGTATAAACCCCCAATTGGAGAATGTTTTGCATAGAAAATAACATCTTCACCACATCACCATACCCATTTGCTTGTCATTTCTATTGCTGTTCACAACACATGGCTATAAAATCTACCTAAAAAATCTGCCTACTCGCTGCATTTGAAGAAGTAGGCTTAGTCTACAAAAGCTCATGCTGCCAATATCTTTCACTCTGTCTCTAATATGCTTCAAGATCATTTTGCTTGTTGTCATTCAGGATTAACATGGATATGTCTTTTCTTGAAAGTGTTTGAATATTTTTCAATCCCTAGGGCACATCTGTAGCAATCCTCTCTTCTACATTTATTGATTTATCGTACCAGGAGTGAACCAAGGGTACAGTTGTCATGTATGGAAAAAAAAACAGTTTAAAAACTTGGCATTATATTAAATGTCCTTTGACCAGTGGCTGGCCACTTGGGGCCCTTCCACACAGCCCTAATTCCCAGAATATCAAGACAGAAAATCCCAAAATATCTGCTTTGAACTGGGTTATTTGAGTCCACACTCAGATAATGTGGGATTTTCTGCCTTGATATTCTGGGAATTAGGGCTGTGTGGAAGGGCCCTCAGAGTGCCTTTGGTGTTGCTATAAGAAGGTTCTCCATTGTGCATGTGGCAGGACTCAGACTGCATTGTAATAGGTGATCTATGGTTTGCTCTTCTACATTAAAAACATGAGATTGCACTCCAGTTTTCACTCTAGTTTCTTTCCTTTGCAACCTACATTTCTACAATATGGTGGTTAATGTTTGTGCTACTTGACACTGTGAGACACATTTTCTTTAATTACAGGAATTCATAATGCAAGTTAAGAGACCAACTGATTATTGGATTGGCTTGAAGAGAGAGAAGGAAGGGCAGCCCTGGGAATGGGCAAATGGAACTCTCTTCAATAACTGGTAAGTTTTTCCAAGTCACCAACATGGGGAGGCATCAGTCAAAAACCAAACAACAACCAAAATGTTATAAAGTCACATAACTCAAAAATATGAGGGTTAAATTTTGCAATTACAAAAATGATAACACACACAATTTCAGGAGTCAAAAACAAAAAGAACACCAAAATGGTAGTAGAATACAAAATTGCAAACATAGTGTCATAATTGAGTCAGATGAGAAAAAAATGGTATTCATTAGCTCAGATGAGTGTGAGTGTGAAAGATATATCGTAAGTTATTTAGTGTTCCACAGTCTGAGTCAACACGTAGCATTTTCTTCTGATCCAAGTCTCATTCTGGCTTGAGGCAGTTTAAAAAAGGCTTCTCCCATCAATTATAGGAGGAATTTCTGGGGAAAAATTACTTTATTTAATTCTTTATCCATTTTGGCTTGGCCTTTGCCAACATAGTGTATCACATACATGGAGAAGTTTGGGTTCATTGTGTTTCTCTTTCTGTAATTTTGTGTCCTATTGGCATTTTTACAAGATTTTGATATTTTTTGTGGTCTTGAATTTTGTGTCTCACGGTTTTGTAATAACATAATTTAGCTGTCATGTTTTGCAATGGTATCATTTTTATAACATTTTGATTGTTGTTTGGTAAGGTGTTCATTTGACTTTTCTCAGCCTGAGGGCTGAGAAAAGCGGTATATAAATAAAGTAAATAAACAAACAAATAAATAAATAAAGTAAATTTAGGTTTCAGAAGATCTTGAGACAAAGAGATGTTAAAATGTTTCATTTTAACATTCCCCTCCTTAAAACAGAAATGTTTGATTGAAAAGTAGGCTCAGTTTCTACAGTTAGGGCATTAAATAATTTATGTATTTAGAGGCAGTCCTTCAGGGCCATCCCTCACAAAGCAGCGTACATAAAAGAAAAAATCACAGATACAGTAGGTAGATAAATCTAGATCCGTGGCCAAAGCCATTTTTGTGACTCTATGTGGCAAATCCAAGAATTCCATGGGAAGTTGCCATTGCAGTTAAAGTGTGTTCAGAGGGCTATAACTTTGTAGTGTGAACAACCCCAAGATACTGGGACAATAAATGGAAGAAGCAAGTAACTTTGCAAGGGAAAAGAAACATGATTTGGCTGACCTCTTGCTAATCACTTATTCCTTCATCCTCCATTTTCCTGAAATAAAGACATTAATTGGTTGCTTTTTACATATATCTTTATTTATTTCTAGCCCAGTGCATGGTACATGGACTGCGGTAAATAACTTTTGTTTATAGACTTCACCATTCTTATTTAAAAAATAAATAGATACTGCATGTTCACTGTTTCCTATTATAAAATATACAGTGTTTCAAAATGATGGACACAAGTGTAGAATTTGTTGAGTGCCTTGAGGGTGTATTCCTGGGTGACTCTTTCTATTGCTAACAAAATGAAGTTCAATGGGGGCAAATGCAAGATACTCCCACTCAGGCAGAAAAAATGAAATGCAAAGATACAGAATGGGGACGCCTGGCTCGAGAACAGTATATGCGAAATAAACCTTGGGGTCCTCATGGACAACAAGTTAAACATGAGCCAACAATGTCATGCAGTGGCTTAAAAAGCCAATGGAATTTTGGCCTGCATTAATAGGAGTATAGTGTCTAGATCAAGGGAAGTCTGCTATCCCTCTATTCTGACGTGGTCAGACCATCCCTGTTATACTGTGTCCAATTCTAGGCACTGCAATTTAAGGGAGTTGCTCTCCGGAGGAGAGCAACTAAAATGATTAACAGCCTAGAGAACAAGCCCCATGAGGAGCGGTTTAAAGAGCTGGGCATGTTTTGCCTGCAGAAGAGAAGGATGAGAGGAGACATGATGAGGGCCATGTGAGGGGAAGTCATAGGGAGGAGGGAGCAAGCTTGTTTTCTGCTGCCCTGGAGACTAGAACATGGAACAGTGTCTTCAAACTACAGGAAAGGAGATTCTACCTGAACACGAGGAAGAACTTCCTAACTGTGAGAGCTGTTCAGCAGTGGAACTCTCTGCCCTGGAATGTGGTGGAAACTTCTTCTTTGGAGGTTTTCAAACAGAGGCTGGATGGCCATCTGTCGGGGGTGCTTTGAATGCGATTTTCCTGCTTCGTGGCAGGGGGTTGGATTGGATGGCCCACGAGGTCTCTTTCAATTATGATTCCATCTCTTTCAACTCTGATCGTTCTATGTTTTATGATTCTATGAGGGTTTTTTGATACAACATAAATAAGGAATCTATTGGTAGTGTGATGCAGGTTATGACATAGGGACTCAATTTCTGTTGTCCAATCATTGCAGGTTTGACATTGGAGCTGATGGACCCTGTGCCTACCTGAATGATGAGAGGGCCAGTTCAACATTATGCTGGATAACAAGAAATTGGATATGTGGCATGTCTGCTCGCTCGGCCTAAGCAAAGTTTGAAAGCTTCCCAACACAAATGATTTGATCATCGTAGGCTGCACATAGGTTATCCGTTTATTCAAAAGGTGCAGACCAGAACTTGGAAGCAACAGATTGTCTGCCACTTCTTACTTTCTTTAACAAAATATTTCTTTAACAAAGTTTTAACAAAATCAAATTCCAAAAGTTACAAAAAATTGGCAGTATCATCTCTTTTTTAGTGTAACAAATTAACATTCTCTGGTTACATGATTCCTACTACCATTAAGAAAAGTAACAAGTCATGCAGCGAGCTTCATTTTCTTTCTGAGTGTAAATGAACTACTTTATTCTTTCAATAAGAAGTTACATCACAGGTTATTTCCAAGCTCTGGCCTAGATAATCAACGCCCATTTTGAAAGACTGCTTTTGAGAATGCAAATTTATAATTGACTGACAAACCAGCAAACTCCAATCCATCTCCCACCTAATGCATGCATTGTCCTTACAAATGCTGAGTAAACAGTTGTGGAATTTGTTTACAAAAGGTACCAAATCCACCTGAACAAATTTTACAGAAATGGGGAGGGGGGGCATGCTGAGCATATATATTTGTTGATTGTAAAATGCAGTTTTCCAAGTCCTGTAACAATAGTTTTGATCTATACATAATGCTGCCTTTTTTCACTTGTAAGATGCCATCAATCGTAAGATAAATCCTAATTTCAGTACCACCAACAAAAATACATAGGATGCACCTGTGATTCTAGGATGCACCCCATTTTTGAGATGTTTACCTAGGGAAAATGTGTGTCTTAATGTTGAAGAAAAACAGTAGTCTACTTCTAGACAACAATATACTGCCATTTATAACTATTTTTTCCATTTTTTTTATTTGGTACCTTTTTGAAACAAACTCCACAATTGTTTTCCTTTAGAAGTGTCCCCGTGGAGGGGAATTAATTGTAGGAAATAGGAAGGATTTCTTTTAGTAGTATCCACAGTAGTGGACCACTTCTCCCTGTAATTTATTGTTTTGTAATGATCCTTTAAGGAGCCCCCGGTGGTGCAGTGGGTTAAAGTGCTGAGCTGTGGAATGTGCTGACTGTAAGGTCAGCAGTTTGATTCCAGGGAGTTGAGTGAGTTCCCGCTCTTAGCTTCTGCCAATCTAGCAGTTTGAAAACATGTAAATGTGAGTAGATCAATAGGTACCACTACTGCGAAGGTCACAGTGCTCCATGCAGTCATGCTGGCCACATGACCTTGGAGGTGTCTGCGGACAATGCCGGCTCTTCAGCTTAGAAATGGAGATGAGCACCACCTTCCCCAGAGTCGGACACAACTAGATTTAATGTCAAGGAGAAACCTTTACATTTACTAATGATCCTTTTATAACATTTAGGAATAATCAATTTGTGGAGATGATGATGGATTGTAATTTCCCTCAGCAACTCCAACCACAATAACCAATAGTGAGGAATGGTGGGAGTTGTCAACCAACAACATTTGGAAGGCCACAAGTTGACCACTCTGCTTGGTTCAGCTCCTGGATTTCTCCGTGGAGGAGAATCAAATGCAGTGGAATCCTCACTGCCAGTCTTACCCATCCAGCATTTCAATTTGTAATTCAATGGTTATCCCATTAGAATAAGGGCAGACAAGCTATTTCCCCACCCCGGTGCAACTCCCAGCATTTCTTTGACACTGACACCTGCTAAGGCTGGTGGGGAGTATAGTTAAACAGTTTCTAATAGGCCTCCCTTGCACCAGAAATGTATCCTTGTGACTTTAGTATCCCAGAGGGAGTGCTTCTCTAGCTGTTGAGACATAGCTGTTTGAAAAGTGCCTTTCCTCTGTTTGTTTCCCATTTGGCAACTGCTGGGTATCTCTGTGGAAGAGAATCTCATGCAACAAGAAAAGTATGAAGCAATCTTATATTAAGGGTGCCCTCACCCAACCCCACGAGGTCTTTGGTACTGTATCTACTTGATCTAATGTGCCATGAAAGAATGTGGACCTCAATTTACAAAGTCTTGAAATTTTAAAAAAATGCTACCAAATGTAATGCACGGCGACAAATAATGCACTTTGTATGTTGGCCCAAAAAGGTGTGCATTACAGTTCCACAGAATTCTCTTTTTAAGGGTAAAAGTGCTAAAGCACCACCGTTTTCAGCAATAGAAAAGAAAACCTGGGGGTGTATCTATGCTGTGGGTGCCTTGATTCAATTAACTACCTGGGTTTAATGCTACAATGTCATGGGAGCTGTAGTGTTACAAGGCCTAGAGCCTTCTCTGCCAAAGAATGCAAGTGCCTTATTATGCTCTAGCAGTAAAATTAGTCATTACATCCCTCCAATAGGAGCTCGAGGTGCAGCTCCTGAAGCAGCTTCCCCTTAGGCTTTGGCTCAGCAGCACAAAGATTACTATATGACTCAAATCTAATGCACACCTTAATTTTGGTGAAGTAATTCAGCCAAAATAGGTGAGAATTAGATGCAAGTAAATAGGGCAATTCGTTCCTTCATTTCAGTTGTTTCAGTTAAAAACATGAAGACAGTTGTGAGATTTGAAGATTGAGTTTAATAATAATGTAGTTGTAAGTTAGGGTCATGCCGGCCCCATGATCTTGGAGGTGTCTACGGACAATGCCAGCTCTTCAGTTTAGAAATGGAGATGAGCACCAACCCCCAGAGTCGGACAAAACTGGACTTAATGTCAAGGGAAAACATTTACCTTTACCTAAGTAGGAATTAAGATTTTAATCATTATATAATACCAAGACAGGTAATCAGTTTTACAGAAATGTCTTTGGGATGGAAAATGGGAAGTCACTTTTAAGCTTATTTTTCCCCTCATTTTATAGGTAGCAGAGGGGGGTTAGGGTGGACATTGTTTCAATGTAATATAAGTTGTTTAGCATATTTTATTTATTTGTCGTGTCAGAGCAACCAGTCAATTATATTAAATTTCTAACAGAACAAAGCAAACAAACAGACAAAATACAAAATTTGTGAGTTTGGTAGTTGATTAAATGTCCTTTGACCAGTATCTGGCCACTTGGAGTGCTTCTGGTGTTGCTGCAAGAAGGTCCTCCATTGTGCATGTGGCAGGGCTCAGGTTGCATTGCAGCAGGTGGTCAGTGGTTTGCTCTTCTCCACACTCGCATGTCGAGGATTTCCACTTTGTGGCCCCATTTCTGAAGGTTGGCTCTGCATCTCGTGGTGCCAGAGCGCAGTCTGTTCAGCGCCTTCCAAGTCGCCCAGTCTTCTGTGTGCCCAGGGGGGAGTCTCTCATTTGGTATCAGCCATTGGTTGAGGTTCTGGGTTTGAGCCTGCCACTTTTGGACTCTCGCTTGCTGAGGTGTTCCAGGGAGTGTCTCTGTAGATCTTAGAAAACTATTTCTAGATTTAAGTCGTTGACGTGCTGGCTGATACCCAAACAGGGGATGAGCTGGAGATGTCTCTGCCTTGGTCCTTTCACTATTGGCTGCTACTTCCCGGCGGATGTCAGATGGTGCAATACTGGCTAAGCAGTGTAATTTCTCCAGTGGTGTAGGGCGCAGACACCCCGTGATAATGCGGCATGTCTCATTAAGAGCCACATCCACTGTTTTAGTGTGGTGAGATGTGTTCCACACTGGGCATGCATACTCAGCAGCAGAGTAGCACAGCGCAAGGACTATGCATATTAAGCATATTACGATTCCTTTAATATTGAATGGAATATTAGGCAGATTACTTGTATTACAGCAGTAGAGTGAAATAAAATAAATGTAGGCATAGTGCATGGTGCTGGTGTTGATAAGAGAGTGGCATGGCTCATTTCACACAAGGGCTTCCCTAGCAATACTTTATAAACCTCATATGTGAGGCCTGGGGAGGAATCATGTATAAATGGGATCAAATATCTGCCCTGAGCCCCCTTGGGGAGAAATATATTATTAATAGGGTATCTTTCCCATTTGTACTTTTTTGTAGGTGCTTGGAAAGTGAGAGCCAAGCAGACACAATTTCTGACTTTGCACAATATCATTCCTGAGCACAAAGCTGACTCTCACCCTTTCCAGTTTCCTGGAGCCTGAGCCAACATGAGCCATAAATTTAAGTACCCTTTCACACAGCTATATGACCCAGATTATCAAGGGAGAAAATCCCACAATATATGTTTTGAACTGGGTTATATGAGTCTACACTGCCATATAACCCAGTTCAAAGCAGTTAATGTGGGTTTTTTTTCAGCTGTATGAAAGGGGCCATAGTCTTAAACCAGCAGTGTTTTTTTTTGTTTTTTTTACTGTATGAAATTTATGTGTTGAATATTGTCTACATCAGGGGTCCTTAAACTAAGGCCCGGGGGCCAGATACGACCCTCGAAGGTCATTTACCCGGCCCTCACTCAGGGTCAACCTAAGTCTGAAACTACTTGAAAGTACACAATAACAACAACAATCCTATCTCATCAGCCAAAAGCAGGCCACACTTCCCATTGAAATACTAATAAGTTTATATTTGTTAAAATTGTTCTTCATTTTAATTATTGTATTGTTTGAAGTGTTTTTTGCACTACAAATAAGATATGTGCAGTGTGCATAGGAATTCGTTTGTTTTTTTCAAATTATAATCCGACCCTCCAAAAGTTTGAGGGACTGTGACCTGGCCCTCTGTTTAAAAAGTTTGTGGACCCCTGGTCTACATATTATGTTTCAATTGCACTTGAAAGTAGATGTAATAATCTAAATCTCATAGTTGAAGAAATTAACTTATATTGTTTTAAGGGACCAGATCCAGTCTGATCTTGGAAGTTAAGCAAGGTCAGCCCTGGTTCAATAGTTAGGAGACCACAAAGGTGCTGTGGGATACATTTCAGATGAAGACACTGGCAAAACCATTTAGGGTATTCCTTGCCTATGAAAACATTCTATGCAGTTCATGGGATGGCCATATGGCCAGGTGCTTCCCTTTATACTTTCGTAACACCGTTTTTGTATTTTATATATGTATGTATCCCTTTTGTGGTGACGGCTGATGATAATTTTACAAACATGTAATACTAAGGCATTAAAATAAAGAAAAGAATGTGGAAAAGAGGTCTGGCTTTTTCCCCTTCATCTAATGACTGTTTTCCCCCCCCCAGGGATTTTATCCCAGAGATTCAGGAGCAGGGGGGAAACTTTGCAGTTACTGATTAGGAAATCTCTCGCCAAAGAAACTGTTCAATCACATAAACAAGACATACAATAATTCCCAATTTTCCCAACACTTCATATTCTTAACAAGAGTTGGTACTGAACATTCCCCAGATAGCAGTTGTGGTTTTGAGCATTTAACTGTAACAGCAGGTGGAAACGGGAGGGCTGTCACCATCCAAAATGCACAGTTAGGTTTTTTGTTACGTGGTTTAGAGTTGATTCCATAGGATTTATTTAGGAATACTCACTTAAAATATTTGTGTGTGGAGTTGTTATTTGCCTTCAGGTCAATTCTAATGCTAGGCAACCCTGCCTAAGGATGCATCTACACTGTACAATGCACGCAGTTTGACACCGTTACAGGTGTTTTGGACTTTAACTCCCACAACTCCTTACAGCCGGCAAGCTGGCTGGGATTTCTGGGAGTTGAAGTCCAAAATGCCTGGAGGACCAAAGGTTGGTAGCCACTGAGCTAAATAAAGAATTTGTGAAACTCCAGTTCCCAGAATTCCACCACACCGAGCCATGGCAGTTAAACGGAAAGGAAAGAAAGGAAAGAAAGAAAGGGAAAAAGAAAAAAAAGGAGGGAGGAAGAAAAGGAAAAGGAAGGAAAGAAATAATGTAAGGAAGGAAGAAGGGAGGAGAGAGGGAAGAAGGAAAAAGGAAGGAAGAAGGAGGGAAGAAGGAAAAGGAAGAAGGGAGGGAAGGGAAGAAGGAAAGGGATGGAAGGAAAGAAGGAAAAGGGAGAAAGGAAGGAGGGAGGGAGGGAAGGAAGGAAAAGAAAGGAGGAAGGGAAGGGAGAAGGAAAGGGAGGAAGAAGGAAAAGGAAGGAAGAAGGAAGGGAAGGAAAGAAGGAAAATGAGGAGAAGAAAGAAGGAGGGGGGGAAGAGGAAAAAGGAAGGGAAAGAAGGGAGGGAGGGAAAGAAGGAAAAGAAAGAAGGGAGGGAAAGAGGAGAAGGAAAAGGAAGGAAGAGAGGAGGAAGAGGGAAGAGGAAAATGAAGGAAGGGAAGAAGGGAAGAAGAAGGAAGGAAAAGAAGGAAGGGAAAGAAGGAAAGGGAGGAAGAGGAGGGAGGAAAAGGAAAGGAGAGAGGGAAGGGAAGAAGGAAAAGGAAGAAGGAAGGGGAGGGAAGAAGGAAAGGAAGAAAGGAGGAAGAGGGAAAAGGAAAAGGAAGGAAAGAGGAGGAAAGAAGAAGGAAAAGAAAGAAGGAAAGGGAGGAAGAAGGGAAGGAAGAAGGGAGGGGAGGAGGAAGAAGGAAAAGGAAGGAAAAAAGGGAGGAAGGGAAGAAGGAAAGGAAGGGAATGAAAGAAGAAAGGAGAGGAGGAGGGAAAAGGGAAGGAAGAAAGAAAGGGAGAAAAGGGAAAGAAGGAAAAGGAAGAAAGGAGGGAGGTTAGGGAAGGAAGGAAGGGAAGAAGGAAAAGGGAGGGAAGGAAGAAAAGGAAGGAGGGAAGGGAAGAAGAAAAAGGAGGGAAAGAAGGAAAGGAAGGATAAAAGAAGGGAGGAAAGAAAGGAGGGAGGGAAGGGGAGAAGGAAAGAAAAGAGGAGGGGAGACTAAACATTCAGTAGGGCAAAACTAAAAGAATAGACGATTCAAACATACACAGCCAATGCATCTCCCTTCTTCAAGTCTCCCAGTAGATGGGGGCGGGACATCCTGCAGCTGGAACCGGAAGAGAGAAAGAAAGACAGGACTTCCGGTGTCTCTACTGCTCTGGCACTCCACTTCCGCTTCTCCATTTCTGGAGCTGCCCTCCTTCCTCTCGCATCTCCCTTGAGCTCTGGGCTTTCAACCCTCCCTTAACCAAAGGGCAAACGTAGAGGCCTGAATTCTCTCCGCGCCTTGCCTGGTTCCTGCGGAGGAGGGATCCCAGCGTGGAGGAAGGGGAATCCGGGAAGCGGAGGAAGCTGGCGAGGGGGAGCCAGGCTGGGCGAGGGAGAGGCCCCTCTGCGCATGCGCCGCCTGAACCAGGCCCAGGACGAGGGAAGGAGCAGAGTGAGTGCTCCAAAGACGCGAGGGCTGTGTGGTCAGCATACAAAGGGAAGGGGCTCTCTCATTCCAGGCCTGGGCAGACTTGGGCCCTCCAGGGGTTTTGAACTCCAACTCCCAGCATTCCTAACAGCCGATAGGCTGTTAGGAATGCTGGGAGTTGTCGTTCAAAACCCCTGGAGGCCCCAAGTCTGCTCAGGCCTGGATTATACTTTTCATGATGCTTTTGACCAGGACTTCTGGGAGCTAGAATCCAAAGCTTTATGGTTGCCCAACTATAAATGTTTTACATAGTGGTTGTTACTCTTTAGTTTTTGCCCAGTTTGGGGCCCCAGATGTTACTGAATGACAACTCCCATCCCTTTTGATTCTCTGCCATGCAGACTGGGGATAGTGGGAGTTGCAACCCAACAGCACTTGTGACTCTGAGGTTGGGCAAAGGTTATAGGACATTTTAAAGTTAGGCATCACATCCACAAGCCTACTAGCTACAGAACGGGGGATGCGTGGCTTGAGAGCGGTATGTGTGAAAAAGATCTTGGGGTCCTCGTGAACAAGTTAAACATAAGCCAACAATGTGATGTGGTGACAAAAAAAAAAAGGATTTTGGCCTGCATCAATAGGAGTCTAGTGTCTAGATCCAGGGAAGTCATGCTACCCCTCTATCCTGCCTGGGTTAGATCACATCTGGAATACTGTATCCAATTCTGGGCACCACAATTGCAGGGAGATGTTGACAAGCTGGAAGGTGTCCAGAGGAGGGTGAATAAAATGATCAAGGGTCTGGAGAACAAGCCCTATGAGGAGCGGCTTAAAGAGCTGGGCATGTTTAGCCTGAAGAAGAGAAGGCTGAGAGGAGACATGATAGCCATGTATAAGTATGTGAGAGGAAGTCATAGGGAGGAGGGAGCAAGCTTGTTTTCTGCTTCCCTGGAGACTAGGACACGGAACAGTGGCTTCAAACTACAAGAAAGGAGATTCCACCTGAACATGAGGAAGAACTTCCTGACTGTGAGAGCTGTTCAGCAGTGGAACTCTCTGCCCCGGAGTGTGGTGGAGGCTCCTTCTTTGGAAGCTTTTAAACAGAGGCTGGATGGCCATCTGTCGGGGGTGCTTTGAATGCAATTTTCCTGCTTCTTGTCAGGGGGTTGGACTAGATGGCCCATGAGGTCTCTTCCAATTCTATGTTTCTAAGCATCTAAATGCAAACTCCTGACTAAGCAGAATAAACTGCAGCCTTCCAGATGTTATGTGCCCCAACTCCCATCTCTAGTTATGATGTCTAATGAGGAATAATCCAGCATCTGGAAGGTCTCATAAAATGACACAGCAGTCCAGATTTGGCTCATGGGTTTTCAGTTTGGTACGTGGACTAAATGATCAGGATAAAAGGGAAGGGTATTATCGAAGGCTTTCATGGACAGAATCACTGGGTTGTTGTAGGTTTTTCGGACTATATGGCCATGTTCTAGAGACATTCTCTCCTGACGTTTCGCCTGCATCTATGGCAAGCATCCTCAGGCCATCAAATGCTAATCAAGGTGGTCAGTTGAAACATTCACACCTAGGTCCAACAGGTTTAGGACTTCAAATCCCACAATTCCTTACAGCTGGTAAGTTGGCTCAGATTTCTGGGAGCGGAATTCTAAAACCCCTGGAGGAGCACAGTTTGAGAAACACTGTCTTATGTTAGAAAAAAAAAAGGGAGCGTGGAGTAGGACACTGCCATTTTTTGACTTGGCTTCAGGATGTTGTCGCCCATGGCTGCCTCAAAAATTACTGAGAACCAGTGGGAGAGGAAAAAGGGAATCACAAGCCCTTTTCCTAGTTGCCAAACAGCACTCCAAATGTGGGAAAGACCAACTAATGGCTGAGAAGCATGTTGTGGCCTAGCTAGTTTCTATTTCTGTATGGGAAAAATAGAGACTTCTTAACCAGCAGAGGGTGTGCTTCAGTCACTGATTTCTAGAGAGAAGGAATAGTACCAGCATAGGGAAGGGAAAGCATAAAAGCCAGGCACTCCTCTAAATTAGAGTTTGGGGAACAGGGATGCATCTACATTGTAAGATTAGGGTTGGAAAAGATCCCAAGGGCCATCCATTCCAACCCCATTCTGCTAGGCAGGAAAACCGAATCCAAGCACAGATGAACATCCAGCCTCTGCTTTAAAACCCTCAGAGGCAGAGACTCCATCACACTCCCAGGCAGCAGCATATTCTGCTGCTGAAGACCTCCAACTATCAGGAAGTTCTTCCAAATGCTTAGGTGGAATCTCTTTTCTGCGGTGTTCATCCATTGCTCCCTGTCCTAGTCTCCAGAGCAGCAGAAAGCAAGCTTTCTCCCTCATCATATCTTTAATCATGGCTCTCATGTTCTGTCTCATTCTTCTTTCCTTCAAGCTAAACATACCTAACTCCTTCAGCCATTCTTCATGGGGCTTGGCTTCGAGACCACTTTGGGTGTCTTTTTCTAGACACCTTTCTCGTCAATATCCTTCTTGAATTGTGGTGCCTAGAGCTGGACATAGTGTTATTCCAGGTGAAGCCTGGCCAAAGCAGAATGTAGTGGTACTATTACTTCTCCAGATCTAGGCACTAGACTGTACTCCTATTGATGCAGCCTAGAAACGCATTGGCTTTTTGAGCTGCCACATCACACTGTTGACCCACATTGAGTTGAGGTCCGCTAAGACTCCTAGATCCCTTTCATATGTACTGTTTTCAAGCCAGTTTGATATAAGTGAATAGGGTTTTAAAATGATTTTTATTATACTTTTTTTTAAAAAAAAAAGTAAGTTAAATCCCAAGAAATTGAAAATAAAAACATGAGGCTAAAATAGACAACAGAAAAGTAAATACAGAGTCAACCCCATTATTTATTTATTTATTTATTTATGATATTTCTATCCTACCTTTCTTGAACCTGAAGGTGACTAAAGGTGGCTTACAACCAGACAGCTATTTGATGCCTTAACAGTATACACTTAAAACCACATTTAAAACAGATTTTAAAAGTACATACAAGAAGACCTTTAAAAACATACAAACCAATATATAAATCCAATACTTTCATTGTTAGCCTCATTGTCCAAAACCCCATAGTATTCCCTCTCCATAACTTCCCCATCCCACCAACTAAACCTAACAAAAACTCTAACCTGTCTGGGGGCGATTTTTGTTCCGCTCCCTCCCCCCCGGTGGAGACAGTCCCTGCCAATACTGTGCAAGTTAATGTTATAGCAACGCAAATAATTAAGAGAAGTTTTTTTCTGATGTATCATAAGTATGGCTTCATTGCACTGGACCAAAATGCTATTAAAAGCCTAACATACATGGACTGAGTCAAAGGCAAAGAGAATGATTTGCACAGAGCAGAAGAGGCAGGAATGAAGAGAGCAGTTGAGGCAGATGTACCATATATTCCGGCATATAAGACGACTGGGCATATAAGACGACCCCCAACTTTTCCAGTTAAAATATAGAGTTTGGGATATACTCGCCGTATAAGACCACCCCTCTTCCAATGCACACCAAATAAAATTTTAAAAAAATCAGATTTGACTTCAATATGGTAATTTTAATTCAAATGCTTCTGACATGCAGGTTCCTATGAGAGGGACATTGTACCTTACATTGGACATTATAGTTGCTCTTCCTCCCTTGAATTTCATTTACACTCTGGGTCCTTTACATCATGCTGGCAAGTATGAAAGCAGGCTTTAAATGGTTCAGATTACATTTATGTTGGCATAGAAGCTTGCATGCAAATAGAAGTCAGGTTTTGTACGATGAGTACTGAGGTGAAGGCAAAGCATTTGTAGAATTTTTATCTATAAGCAGTCTTTATAAATCAGGACCTCCTATCAGAAGAGAGGGGCAGATTGGACCCTCATCCTTCAGAAATGTAGCATTTGGCATGGCACATGTTTACTGGGTCACATCTTGACATGTCTTCATCCTTAAATCACCGTGACAGCTTGAATTGTTTTAGAGTTTCTCAAGAACACAGCCAGGTGATGTTTAATTGTTAGAAGGGGAAAAGAGATCAGAAAAGAGGAATGGGGACCCTGGGTCAATAAGAGCTTTCCAGTTTGACTTCTGTCAAAAACTGAAATGCAAAGATACAGGATGGGGGACGCGTGGCTCGAGAGTGGTATGGGTGAAAAAGATCTTGGGGTCCTTGTGGACAACAAGTTAAACATGAGCCAACAATGTGATGCGGTGGCAAAAAAAATTAAAAAACACAATAGGATTTTGGCCTGCATCAATAGGAGCATAGCATCTAGATCCAGGGAAGTCATGCTCCCCATGCTCTATTCTGCCTTGGTTAGACCAAACCTGGAATTACATTGTGTCCAATTCTGGGCACCACAACTGAAGGGAGATGTTGATAAGCTGGAATGTGTCCAGAGGAAGAGGGTGACTAAAATGATCAAGGGTCTGGAGAACAAGCCCTATGAGGAGCGGCTTAAAGAGCTGGGTATGTTTAGTCTGAAGAAGAGAAGGCTGAGAGGAGACATGATGAGAGCCATGTATAAATATGTGAGAAGAAGTCATAGGGAGGAGAGAGCAGATCAAGGGTCTGGAGAACAAGCCCTATGAGGAGTGGCTTAAAGAGCTGGGTATGTTTAGTCTGAAGAAGAGAAGGCTGAGAGGAGACATGATGAGAGCCAAGTGTAAATATGTGAGAGGAAGTCATAGGGAGGAGAGAGCAGATCAAGGGTCTGGAGACCAAGCCCTATGAGGAGTGGCTTAAAGAGCTGGGCATGTTTAGCTTGAAGAAGAGAAGGCTGAGAGGAGACATGATGAGAGCCATGTGTAAATATGTGAGAGGAAGTCATAGGGAGGAGAGAGCAGATCAAGGGTCTGGAGACCAAGCCCTATGAGGAGTGGCTTAAAGAGCTGGGTATGTTTAGCTTGAAGAAGAGAAGGCTGAGAGGAGACATGATGAGAGCCATGTATAAATATGTGAGAGGAAGCATGACTAAAATGATCAAGGGTCTGGAGAACAAGCCCTATGAGGAGTGGCTTAAAGAGCTTGGCATGTTTAGCATGAAGAAGAGAAGGCCGAGAGGAGACATGATAAGGGCCATGTATACATATGAGAGGAAGTCATAGGGAGGAGAGAGCAGATCAAGGGTCTGGAGATCAAGCCCTATGAGGAGTGGCTTAAAGAGCTGGGTATGTTTAGTCTGAAGAAGAGAAGGCTGAGAGGAGACATGATGAGAGCCATGTGTAAATATGTGAGAGGAAGTTATAGGGAGGGCGAAGGGAGGGAGGGGGCGAGGAGGAGGAGCGGCAGCCTTTGCTACCAATCTGGCAGCGTGGTAGCCTACTGGGCTGTCTTCACCCTCGCAGGCATTGAGTTGGCTCTGCCTCCGCCCTCCATCTCAGAACAGCTGCTGCAGGAGGGAGCCAAAGCCAGAGGGGCGGGGAGGGGGCGGGGCCTCTGGCTGCTCCGCCCCGCCCCCGCAGAGGGCCCCGCCCCCCAGTCCCACCCCCGCGCTCTGGCTTCAACTCCTGCTGCTTTACCAGGCCGGCGGGGGTGTTTGCATGCTGTAATGTCCCCTCCGCCACTGGTCTGCTGCTAGCTCTGCCTCTGGCCTCAAAGTTCAGAGCAACTGCCGAGGGAACCAAACCTGGAGCGTGGGGCGGGACCGCGAGGGGCGGGGTCCTCTTCTCCCACTGCCCCCCTGCTCTGGGTTTGGTTCCCTCGGCAATTGCTCTGGCTTTGAGGCCAGAGGCGGAGCTAGCAGCAGACCAGTGGCGGAGGGGACAGCACAGCATGCAAACACCCCCGCCGGCCTGGTAAAGCAGCAGGAGTTGCAGCCTCCGCAGGGGGGCGGGACCGGGGGCGGCACCCTCCGCGGGGGGTGGGGCCGGAGTAGCCAGAGGCCCCACCCCCACCCCTCCGGCTTTGGCTCCTGTTCTGGGATAGAGGGCGGAGGCGGAGCCCACTGAATGCCGGAGACAGCCCAGTAGGCTACCATGCTGCCAGCTTGGTAGCGAAGCCTGCCGCTACTCCTCCTCGCCCCCCCTCCCTCCGCCCTCCCTCCTCAGGCTCCACCACGCGGGGATGCCAAGGGCGAGGGACACGAGGGAAAAATGATCCAAAAAAATTTATGCCGGGGTACAAGACGACTCCCCATTTTTGAGATGATTTTTCAGGCTTAGAAAGTCGTCTTGTACCCCGGAATATACGGTATTTTGAACATCCTTGGTTGAGTTGGTGCCTTTGAAGCAAAGTGTAAAGTTGTTTTTGTGTTTTTTTACAGGCAAAAATGCAGAGGAGTTTGGAGCAGCGATATGCGATCAAGTTCTGTGTCAAACTTGGAAAATCTGGCTCTGAAACGTTGCAATTGTTGAGGACAGCTTATGGGGATACTGTGTTGTCTTCAGCCCAAGTCTTCAGGTGGCACAAGGCATTCAAGGACGGGAGGGAAAGCGTTGAGGATGAACAGCGTGCCGGCCGCCCTTCAACTGCAAGAACGGAGGAGAATGTGTCTCGAGTGAAGGCAGTTCTGGATAGGGACCGAGGTTTGAATGTGCGGTTAATCGCAGAGAAGGTAGGACTACCGAAAACGGATGTCCATCGAATCATGACAGAAGATCTGCACATGAGAAAAAATTGTGCGAAACTGGTCCCGAAGAATTTGTCAGATGAACAAAAAAACAATCATGTGTTGATTTCTCATGAACTCTTGGGTCGTGTGTCAAGTGAGCCTGACTTACTGCAGCGACTGATAGCTGGAGATGAAACATGGGTTTTTGAGTATGATCCCACAGCTGAAAAACAAACTTCAGAGTGGCACACTTCCCAGTCAACTCAACCAAAGACTGAATAAGCAGATCAAGAGTCCAATCTATGCTCATTTGTTTTTAATCAAAGAGAATTGTTCACAAGGAGTCTGCCACCCAGACAGATGGTGTATCAAAGGTACTCAATCTTTTGAGAAGCAAGAGTTGTACACTTCTGCTGTTTAATTGCAAACACATGGTTTGTTCAGCATGCCAGTGTGCTAAGTCAGAGATCGCTCTCTGTGAGGGACTTTGGTTCAAAACAATATGACAATACTGCCCCAACCACTGTACAACCTTATCTTGGTCCTGTGCAATTTCTTGTTATTCCCTGAGCTCTAAACCCATTTCCATAGATATCAATTTGGGACGGTTGGAAATATCCACGCAGCCGTGGCGAGGGCTTTGAACAACATCTCTAGTGAAGACTTCTTTCACTGTTTTGGTTAAATATTTGAAAGGTTGTCACATTGAGGAGGGGCAAACTTGTTTTCTACTGCTCCGGAGATGAGGACACAGAGCAATGGATTCAAATTGCAGGAAAAGTGATTCCATCTAAACCTTAGGAACAACTTCCTGACTGTAAGAGCTGTTTGACAGTGAAATATTGTACCTGAGAGCAGAGGAATATCCTCTGGATGGCCATTTGTTGGGGGTGATTTCAATAGCAGAATGGTGTTGGACTGGATGGCCCTTGGGATCTCTTCCAACGTGTATGATTCTACAATATGGAATTGCTGTAGTCAGGCACAAATAGCCTGTTTTGAAGGGAATATACTGCAATTGTATGTATGTTCAATAAAAATGTTTTAATTAATTCTCATCACTTCTGAGGTTTCTACTGCACAAGTCGAGGGGAGAACCCCACTCTTAGCAACAGCTGGCGCTTGGAGTCAGGGGGAGTTCCTGTTAGCCTCTCCATATATAGCATGGGGTTTGTTGTTGTGTGCCTTAAAGTAATTTGTAACCATAGTTGATCGTACCATGGATTTTTTTCCTAGCAAAATTTACTTGCAGGAAGTTTGTCATTGTCTTCCTCTGAGAATGGATCATGCAGCAGTTTTCATGGCTAAATGGTTGTGGTTGTCTTCAGGGTTGTGGCCAAGCGCTCAAAGTACTGAACCAAACTTGTGTGGCTTTGGTTCCAGCATGTGTTCAAATTATTATTACTTTCATTATTTATTATCAATAATAAATAATACTACCATTACACACTTTTACACCGAAGCTTTCTGTAAGATGAGTTCTGTAAGATGAGTTGGATAAATAAATATTGGGGGCCAGGGAAGCTCAGACTGCAGGATGTCCCTCCATCATCTTCTGGAGGAAGCAGCATTGATCTGACCTGTGATACATTTATTTCCAGCAGAAAAGGGATGGACACACATGCACACACACATCCCCCCAGATGGATGCTGTCTTAATATGGGAATAACTTTCTCCTCAGGGATGCATATCTTTTTAATTATTCTTCCCAATTATGCAAAATGTTATGGTCCAGAAGTAAACATTGTTAAACAAAGATTTTTTTCCTCTGGAGCTTGTCATGTCTTAGCATGTTCTACTGAGACTCTACGCTAGGCCCCATCCTATGCAATGGATGTCCCATGTTCTTCTCAATTGTAAATGAATGTCGGATTGCCAGGTAAAGAAGGTTTATTGTATTCAAAATTTACCTAAAAGTTACATCCCATTAAAATTCTTGATGCTTCCTTCTGAATTAATATGGTGTAGTGTAGTATAGTGTTAATCCTGCGATAGTTATTGATGTAACCATTGAGCAAATATGTATTGATTTCCACTGAGTAAATATGAAGCTCCGCTGTAAAAAAAAAAAGATTTAACAGCAGTGATGTAAATTCCAAATTTAGTGTGTTAGCACCCTGTCTCTATTAGGCCTAGCAACAACATTATCTGAATTAATCTTTCAAGTTCAATAGAATTCGTCATCTAGTCAAGCGGAAGAAGAGAGAATATTGGGGCTGTGTGCCAGATTTGGTCCAGATTTGTTATTGAGGGCGTTCAGAGGGCACTGGACGCAGAATGAACAACTCCAA